TTTCATAGTCTCGCTGTGTTGACCAGGCTGGAGTGCAGCGGTGCAATCTTGGCTCACTGCAACCTCCGATTCCCGGGTTCAAGCGATTCTCCTGCATCAGCCTCCCAAGTAGCTGGGACTAGAGGTGCCAGCCACCAAGCCCAGCTAATTTTTGTATTTTTAGTAGAGACAGGGTTTTACTATGTTGGCCAGGCTGGTCTGAAACTCCTGACCTCGTGATCCACCTGCCTCGGCCGCCCAAAGTGCTGAGACTACAGGCATGGGCCACCACGCCCAGCCAAGACTACTTTCTGTACCCAGTCCTGGTGCCTCTATCCAGACCTCCTGTTCTCTCTCCCTTCCTCTTTCATTGGTTACACTTCTTTATTTTCCCACATCTAGATCTCATGATAGGAGCTGCAGAAGGCCCCTTTGGGAAGACTGAGCAGGTTGACTCCTGAGGCCAGCAAAAGTGGGGTGCACAGAAGGTATCTGATCAAATCCAGTGCCCTCTCAGTGCCCCCTTCACTCTGTCTGTCACTTCCCTAGAGCCAGGATCCTTGAGGTGCCCAGTCTGCTTGTCTATGGAAGGCTGTCCGGAGGGGACGACAGAAGAGATGTGCCCCAAGGGGACCACGCACTGTTATAATGGCCTCCTCAGGTTCAGGGGAGGTAAGCCTGGGACATCGGGATCCCTGAGGGGACTGAACGGGAAGTTCTGGGGACTGAGATCTTAGTCTCTGGGGAGTGAGGGTGAGCTGAGGCGAGGCATGAGACCCAGAGGAGGGTGGGCCTGGCTTCCTGGAGCTATGCCTGCCTCTGAGGGTTGAGTGGTCCTCAGGCAGCATCACTGACTCTCCCTCGCTCCCCCTTTCTGCAGAAGGCATCTTCTCCAATCTGAGAGTCCAGGGATGCTTGCCCCAGCCAGGTTGCAACCTGCTCAATGGGACACAGGAAATTGGGCCCGTGCGCATGACTGAGAACTGCAAGAAGAAAGGTGAGTCCCGCCCCTAGGCTGTGCCCTACACTGCAGCCTCGGGCACGATGACACATGGGGCATCCAGAGCCATCACACCAAAGCCAGTAGGGGGAAGGTCAAGGGTGCAGGGTGGGCTGCTTGGCATGAGACTTTAGGCAACAGTGAGTGCTGGGGCCCCTGCTGGCTCTCATGCTGCTGAGAGTGACTGGTTGCTTCAATTTCTCTGTCTCCACACCCCTGGCCTTGCATAACCCTAGGTCTCCCACTTCCCTAGGCCACCGTAGCCTCTCTGCCACCCTCACCAGCCCCTGTCCTGCCCATGATGCTGGAGTGCCCCAGCAGCCTGGCCTGTAGAGGAGAGAACATCAGAGAGAAAATCAAGGGCACTTCAGGTGTGACAGAGAAAGCAAGAGTTAAACGAGGACACTGAGAGGGTCCCCCCTTCCCCATTTAGGTACTGCCATGGAAGAGAGTGCCAGGGAATGTCTCCATAAGAAGGGCTCCAAGGCAATGGGAAGCCATGCTGAGGAGGCCGGGGTCTTATATGGATCCCAGCTTCCCTCCTAGGAGCAAAGTCTTTCCCTACCCGTGCCTCTGTTTCCTTGTCTGCCCCCATCAAGCTAACCCTTAGAGTTTAGAAGAGGGAGTTGTGTGAGTTCTGTACACCTTCCTCTGTGTATTTGGCTGTTTCTCCCTGGCTAGGCTGGGAGCCCGAGGCCAGGGACTTGGTATCACTGGCACCAGGGTTTCCAGCCTTGGGTAGCTCAGGAGCCGGCTCAGGAAGGGTACCAGGAGGTGTTTGCTCAAGTGAAGATGTGCAAAGCCCCCTAATGAGTCAGACCCTGTTTCTACCTGAAGGGCCTCCAGGACTAGGAGGGGGAGGTGCCACAGACACAGATAGTCACAGCTTGAGGTGATCAGGGCTGTTGCAAATGGGGATGTGGGGCCTGGGGCAGCTCAGAGGAGGAAGATACTGATGTTGTTGGGGTAGAGAGTAAGGAGGGCTTTACAGAGGAGGTGGCCTGTGAACTGTGTGTTAAAGATGACCTACAGCTTATTGGTAGAAGAGGAAGAGGACATTGGTGGCAGAGGGAACCGTGTGTAGCAGCTGCATAGGCCTGGAGGTGGGAGTGAGCCTGCAGTTTTCAAGAAGAGTCCATCACTCCACCTGAGAAGGACTCATCAAGATGAGGGGGTACAGCTGGGATTGGGGGTGATTAGAAGTTTTCCAGGTGGACAAGGTGGGTGTGGGGTCGAGGAGGGAGCTGCCCCAAGCCAAAGGCACAGCAGATGTGAGGCTGAGGAGGAAATGACTTGGCATGCCTTCGGAATGGATACTGGTGGGGGCGGGAGAGGTAAGTGGGAACCTGGTGGTCGCTCAAATACCTGAAAAGCCAGACTCAGGGGTGGATCGTCTCCTGAAGGCAGGGGAGCCATGGAAGGGGAGCAGGGAGGGGCAGGGTCTGAGCCATTTATCTTTCCTTTGACTGATGCTGGTGTTAAGGGTCTGGCCCTGGTCTCTGGGACCAGGTGACACTGATAATCCAGAAGGCATTTCAGAAACAAATCAGATGCAACATATGCCACACACGCAGCCCACAATAAGCACAGGAGACACCAAAGCATCACACCATGCCACATACACACCACACATCACATACCACACACACTCCCCCATACCCCTGACATACCACATATGAAACACAAATCACACACAGAGCGTACGATATGCACAACACACACAAATGCATCACAGAATTGCACAATTACTATGTGTACATGTAGTGTGTATGTGGCATCCACACTACATGTCAGGTACCACACACACTCCCTCTCAACATATTGGACATGCAACACAGACCACACACAACACACAATACACACAACACACCTGGTATGTCACGCACACCACATGCAAACAAAACACGATACACAGAACACACACCACACCAAACACACAAACACATACCACATACATCACACACAGTATGTCTATACATGCATGCATCACACAAACATACCATGAACACACCACACACCCCATACAACCACACCCACACACATGTACTACACACTTACACATACCAGACACCCCTGCACACATCATGCATGCACCCCCATACCTTATGCACACACACTACACACACACACACCACATGCAAACAAAACACAGATACACAGAACACACACCATGCCAAACACACAAAAACACATACCACATACATCACACATAGTATGTCTGCACATGCATGCACCACACAAAAATACCATGAACACACCACACACCCCATACAACCACACCCCTCACATACTACACACTCACACACAGCACACACATCTGCAGACATCACGCATGCGCCCTCACACCCCGTGTGCACACACTACACAAACACATACCACATAAAACACAGCTATTACGTACAAATCGGTGCTGTTAATACAGATTCATATTCTTTCAACACTGGAGCCAGATCTTGGAGGCTGTTTTGCCTTCCCTGGTGAAGTGCAGTTCAGCAGCTTAGCAGACAGTGAGTATCACAAGACCAGGCATCAGAAACTGGGGGAACAACAAGATGTTGGGGACCAAGTGTGGGAGAGAAGAGGCTGTAGGGTGATAGAACCGCTTATAAGAAGCCACAGCAGTGGGAGGGCTGGGTGCAAGGACACAGGTTACTAAAAGGGGCCATGGCAGCAGCCCCTTGTGAAGAACCAAGAAGCCCTGGGCAGATAAGGCCCTGGCTGCCCCTAGAGGAGCTGGACAGCGGTCCCAGTGAGAGAGCAGGGAAGAGCCCGCGTCTGAATCAGGGACACGTGGGTCCCAGGCCCTGCTCTGCCGCTGAAACAGCTTTCCAGCCTCAGCTTCATATGAGGATCAGAAGTCTCCATATCTCATGGAACGTCTTTCCCTGGATGTGGGGAAGAGGAGGGGATGGTTGCAGACAGGGGGCGGAAGCAGATGCAAAGGCCTTGAGGTGGGTGAGTGCCTGCCAGAAGCACCTGTGCAGAGCAGAGTGATGGAGGGAGCGGAGTAGGACACCTGCATGGAGCGGGGAGGTGGCTGCATCTTATCAGGCCTCCCGGGCCATTGGAAGGGCTTAGAATTTTATTCTCCAGAATGGGGAACTCCTGGAGTCTTCGGAGCAGAGGAGTGACATGAACTGACTTAGGTTTACCCAGCCTCCCTCTGCCTGGTGGGCGGAGAATGCAGCAAGGGGAAGAGGGGCAGGCAGGCACAGGGAAAGCCCCAGGAGTCAGGTGGGAGCCAAGGGGGGGTTGGCCTGGGTGGAAGCAGCAGAGGTGGTGACGTGAGGTTGGGTTTTGAAGATTTTCTGCAGCTCAAGCCAGTAGAATTTCTTGAGGAACACAACGTGGGAGAGAAAGGGAGTGGTCAAGGACACCACCAACCTTTTCAGCTAGGCCGGCAGAGAAGAGCCACCACAGGTATAAGTAGGGGAGATGGGAGTGGGGAGAGAAGGGTGGGCGAAGAGAGCAGGAGCCATGATTTTGATTTTGTCATCTGTGAAGCATGCAAATGAGCAGCCCTCCGGGGTGGCATCCGTTCTGCAGGTCGCGTGTGTTGGTGGAAGCTGGGGGCTCAGTCTAAGAGTCCCCGCATCATGGGACAGATGCCCCCTGCTCTGTCATGGCCATGAGGGAAGGCCAGGGGCTGTGGTTTCACACTAGAGCCTTGAGGGCCTCGGGGCCAAGGTCGCCGAGGATGGTCATCAGTACCTGTCTCTGTCCTGCCCTCAACCCCGACCCTGAGGGTCCAGAGTCCCTGGGTTCCCAGCCTACCTCTGCTGCTCACAAGCTGTGTGGCACAGGCGGCTACTGAGCAGTCCTGCCTGTTTCCCTTGTTGCAAATGAGGGTGCTGATTGTGATCGCCCCTACTGTTGGGGTGCTGTGGGGAAACGAGGCATCCCAGATAAGCTGAGCTCCCTGGGACCTTAGATAGGTGGATCTGTGGGAAGCAGTGACGTCAGCTAGGTGCAGAGGCAGTGCTCAGCGGCAGTGCTCAGCCCACCCTGGCCCTCCGCATCTTTTGTTTGGAACATAGGGCTTTGCAACTGAAAGGTATGAGAAAGGTCTCAGGCTGTCTTCCTTATTATTGAAATGAGGACCTTAAAGTTCAGACGGGGAAGGAGAGATGGGCAGAGGATAAGGAAGAGCTTCCATTGCTCTCACAGCTGAAGCAAGGAACGACCATTCCCACAGGGCTGTGAGAGGATGTCCCTGCAGATGTTCAAGTAGAAACAGGGGGAACAATGAGGGCGGGGTTTGGACTCCCAAGTCCTTTCTGAATCCGTGGTTGAGGGACTCCGTGGCCTGGTCACCTGGAGGGACAGACATGGTCGGTTCCTGGCTTACACAGACCCTGGGTTTCCTCTCCCCAGATTTTCTGACCTGCCATCGGGGGAACTCTTTGCAGAAGGATGATAACTTGGCTCAAGTACCCATTGAATGGACCATGTCTAATACCGTGATGTGCGAGGCGGGCCAGGTGTGTCAGGAGACGCTGCTGCTCATAGATGTAGGTGCGTGGACTGAGGTAGGAGACAAACACTTGTCCCAGGTCCCTGGCAGCTCCCTCCACCCCACTGGATTCTTTCCCCTGAATTTCCTGCTCCGTTTCCTCCACATCTGCAATTTTCAATTCAACTATTCTTCTCTCTGGATCTTAGGTTCCCCTTATGAAAACTGGGGGTGAAGCAGTGAGAATGACAGTGTCTGCCTTTCTGGGTGGGGTGACGATGTATGCGGTAATCCCTGCCCAGGGCGGAGAACCGTGCCAACACTGAGGAATCTCATTGGCTTCATGCAGTCTGGAAATGTTTATCCAGCATTTGTCTTAGGCGCTGCAGATCCAATCCCATCTGTATTCCTGCAGCTTTATATACCTTGAGAAACAGGAAACAAACAAAAAGCAGCAAAGTATAGGGATGGAGATCCCAGCTCTGGAGAGAAATCTGGCAAGGAAAAGGAGATAGGAAAAGTGAGATGAAGGCTACAACATTAAGCTGAGTGTTCAGGGGAGACTCATGGAGAAGGTGAGGTTTGAGTGAGAACTGGGAGGAGGCAGAGCTTCGGGGAGGACCCAGGCCCTGGCCTCCGTCTTTGCCCCATGCTAAACATGACCCATGCAGTTGTGATCAGGGCATTCACCCTCTGCCTGAGGGGTATTGTGGAGGGCAGGGAGTCCAGTTCTGAAGCCCCTGTTGCCCTGGGAGCTGTCCAGTCCCCCAGCCCAGCTTTCCCTCTCACCCTTAGGACACACATCGACCCTGGTGTGGAGCAAAGGCTGCAGCGCTGTTGGGGCTCAAAATTCCCAGAAGACCTCCATCCACTCAGCCCCTCCTGGGGTGCTCGTGGCCTCCTATGCCCACTTCTGCTCCTCAGACCTGTGCAATGGTGCCAGCAGCAGCAGCGTCCTGCTGAACTCCCTCCCTCCTCAAGGTATGGGATCCAGGGCCATGGAGAAATGAGGCCCAGACACACAGACACTCTGGTCCAAGGTGGGCGGCTGCTGTGAGCACAAAGTCACGTACCCCCACCTTCTCTCTGCTCCCCAGGTGCCCCAGAGCCAGGAGACCAGCAGTGTCTTACCTGTGTGCAGCCCTTCGAAACCTGCTCAAGTGACTCCCCAGTAAAGACCTGCCCCAGGGGCACCACTCATTGTTATGATGGGTACATTAGTCTCTCAGGAGGTGAGTGCTGCAAGCAGGGCCCCAAGGATGAAGGTGCTGGTGTCCTGGGCTCTTGGGACTGCGGGAGGAGGAAGCTGGGGCTCTGGGCTCTTGGGTTTCAGGGAGGAGGGGCTGGGCCTGGACTCCTGGTCTGAGGGAGGAGGCGGTGGGCTCCTGGGTCTGAGGGAGGAGGGGGTGGGGTCTGGGCTCCTGGGTCTGAGGGAGGAGGGGGTGGGGCCTGGACTCCTGGGTCTAAGGGAGGAGGGACTCGGGGCCTGGACTCCTGGGTCTGAGGGAGGAAGGGCTGGGGGCCTAGACTCCTGGGTCTGAGGGAGGAGGGACTCGGGGCCTGGACTCCTGGGTCTGAGGGAGGAAGGGCTGGGGGCCTAGACTCCTGGGTCTGAGGGAGGAGGGACTCGGGGCCTGGGCTCCTGGGTCTGAGGGAGGAAGGGCTGGGGGCCTAGACTCCTGGGTCTGAGGGAGGAGGGACTCGGGGCCTGGGCTCCTGGGTCTGAGGGAGGAGGGACTCGGGGCCTGGGCTCCTGGGTCTGAGGGAGGAGGGGCTGGGGGCCTGGACTCCTGGTCTGAGGGAGGAGGGAGTCAGGGCCTGGGCTCCTGGGTCTGAGGGAGGAGGGACTCGGCCTGGATTCCTGCGTCTGAGGGAGGAGGGGCTGGATGTGGACTCCTGGGTCTGAGGGAGGAGGGGCTGGATGTGGACTCCTGGGTCTGAGGGAGGAGGGGCTGGACGTGGACTCCTGGTCTGAGGGAGGAGGGACTCAGGGCCTGGACTCCTGGGTCTCAGGGAGGAGGAGATGGAGGGAGGAGGAGGTGGGGGCCTGGGTCTGAGGGAGGAGGGGCTGGACGTGGACTCCTGGTCTAAGGGAGGAAGGACTCAGGGCTTGGGCTCCTCGGTCTGAGGGAGGAGGGACTCAGGGCCTGGACTCCTGGGTCTGAGGGAGGAGGGGCTGGGCATGGACTCCTGGTCTGAGGGAGAAGGGACTCAGGGCCTCGACTCCTGGGTCTCAGGGAGGAGGAGGTGGGGGCCTGGGTCTGAGGGAGGAGGGAGTCAGGGCCTGAACTCCTGGGTCTGAGGGAGGAGCGGGTGGGGGCCTGGACTCCTGGGTCTAAGGGAGGAAGGACTCAGGGCTTGGGCTCCTCGGTCTGAGGGAGGAGGGAGTCAGGGCCTGGACTCCTGGGTCTGAGGGAAGAGGTGGTGGGGGCCTGGACTCCTGGGTCTGAGGGAGGAGGGAGTCAGGGCCTGGACTCCTGGGTCTGAGGGAAGAGGTGGTGGGGGCCTGGACTCCTGGGTCTGAGGGAAGAGGTGGTGGGGGCCTGGACTCCTGGGTCTGAGGGAGGAGGGGCTGGGGGCCTGGACTCCTGGGTCTGAGGGAGGAGGGGCTGGGGGCCTGGACTCCTGGGTCTGAGGGAGGAGCGGGTGGGGGCCGGGGCTCCTGGGTCTGAGGGGCTGGGCCTCTGGGCTCTTGGGTGTGAGGGAAGAGGGGCTGGGGTCCTGTACTCCTAGGTCTAAGGGAGGATGGCCTAGGGGTCTAGGCTCCTTGATCTGAGGAGGGAGGACTGGGGACCTGGACTCCTGGGTCTGAAGGAGAAGGGACTGGGGCCTGGACTCCTGAGTTCACGAATTTGGCTAGGCTGTACTTTGTGTCCTTTCTGATTTGGTCTTCTCCCTCTAGGTGGGGTAACCACCACAATGGGCATTCAGGGCTGTGTGGCCCAACCTTCCAGCTCCTTGTTGAAGCACACCAGACAAATCGGGATCTTCTCTGTGCGTGAGAAGGGTGATTCTGAGAGCGGTGGGGCTGGGGGCCTGGAGTCTCTCACTTGGGGGGTGGGGCTGGCACTGGCCCTGGCGCTTTGGTGGGGGGCTCTTTGCCCTTCCTGCTAACTCCATTTCCCCCACGATTCTTCACCCCTGCTGACCACCACACTCAACCATCCCTCTGACCTCGTAACTTAATGGCCTTGGACACCAAATTCTTTTCCCATCCTGCCCATGAATTATCTTCCCCACACACAATCATTCATGTCTACTCACCTAATAGCGACCCTGGGGAGAGCCTGGAGCAGCTGGACTTGTCCTATGGGAGAGGGGACGTTGGAGGAGTGGCTGCATGTATCTGAATAATAAAGACCTTGTCCTTTCTTCCAGTGCTGAGGTTTCTCCATGTGAGGGGACAGCAGGACACCCAGGGATCTAGTGTGGGGGAGGAGAGGAACCTAATGAAAAAATGATCATCCAAAGCCTGCGCTTTACTGGTCTGGTTCACGTCTCCAAACCAGCTTGGATGGTAGCAGAGACCATTACCTGGAGGGGAAGATGCACTGAGACGTATGAGGCTTCCAGCCAAGGTCCTCGCACAAACAGGTGGCTCGTCCCATCTGAGCAACTGCAGGAGAGATTAGTATAGTCATGCATTTAATAACGACAGGGATATGTCTTGAGAAATGTGTCGTTAGGTGATTTTATCGCCATGGGAACATTGAAGAGAGCACTTACAAAAACCCAGATGGTACAGCCCAACACACACCCAGGATGGATGGTAGAGTTGACTGCCCCTAGGCTACAAGCCTGCAGTGCATGTTATGGTGTGAATACTGCAGGCAATTTTAACACCACGACAAGTATTTGTGTATCTATACACATCTAAACGTAGAAAAGGTACAGCATAAATACAATATTGTCATCTCCGGAGACTACCGTTCTATGCGCAATTCGTCATTGACCCAAACGTTGCTATGTAGCATCTGCCTATCATGGGATAATTGACATAAGGGCTTGAGAGAACTCCAGAAGAAAACGGGTTAGCATTTTCCCAGAGCTGTTACCGTTGGGTCTTTCTTACCACCATCGCCCAATAAGGGCGAGGAGAGGAGCCACTGCTGGAATCTGCAGAGAAGAGAGAGAGAGACACATACACAGACAGAAATAGAGAGAGCCGGAGAGAGAACCAGAGACAGAAAGAGAGAGATATTCAGAGAGGGTTGCCTAACAGGAGCTCCCATCTCAGGCTGAAAAACGCATCCAGCCCACAATGATACTGGGGAGGGAGGTGGGGAACTAAAATTCCAAACTGATGTCCTCATTCTGGTCTGCAGTTGAGGTTCCCCACTGACTGAACCCCCTAGAGGCTGGAAGCAGGAGACTCCACTGATCCAGCCCCCATAGATCTACCATTCACAGTAGAGAACAGGGAAGAGGGGAGGGAAGAGGAGAAGAGAGTGAAGCTGGAGAAGGAAACAGAACATGTCTAGTACCATTCACTCCCTTGCCTCTACAGCATCCACCCTTTCCCTTTGTCCAGATGTAAATCAGAGTCCAAGCCAGGCGCGGTGCCTTGCGCCTGTAATGTCAGCACTTTGGGAAGCCGAGGTGGGAGGATCACTTGAGCCCAGGAGTTTGAAACCAGCCTGGGCAACATAGTGAAACCACTTCTCTACAAAAAATACAAAAAATTTACCTGTTGTGGTGGTGCACATCTGTGGTCCCAGCTACTCAGAAGGCTGAGGGAGGAGGATCATCTGAGTCCAGGAGGTCAAGGGTGCAGTGAGCCAAGACTGTGCAACTGTCAACTCCAGCCTGGGTGACAGAGTGAGATCCTGTCTCAAGGGGGAAAAAATCAGAGTCCTCCGTGCAGATGACACACAATTCCAGTCCTTTCCTCTGTCACAGCAACAGTGTGTGTGATGATGACAATGATGCTCTCCTCCCATTATGCCGGGCACCAGTTCTTCGCCCACAATGAGAGGAAGATGGGGAGGAGATGGCTTCCAACACAGCTGCTGAGGTCCTGGGGACAGGGCTGCTGGTGCTCAGAGCTGCTTTCTTCTAGTACATTCCACATTGTCTTCCCACCTCCAAAACCTCCTTTGGATGTTATTTGTCACCTGCAACATAACCCAAATCTTGGTTCTTATGGAGAGTTAGTCTTGGATGGCCTTGTCTTTAGTGAGTTTCTATAGTTTTCCATGGAACAGGGCCCTGGCCAAGGAAATGTTACCCCCATGAGTTGCCTGCCTTCAAAAATAGCCTCCTTGTCCCAGCCACCTGACCTCCCTCTGTAATCAGATGCCGTTCCCCCGACTGCAGAGAGACCTCTCCTTTGCCTGCTGTTTTGGCAGCACGAGGGGCACAGGATGGCTGGAGGGCTGTCATGGCTTCCCACAGATCAGCACTAGGAAGAGATTCCTCATCCACAGCAGCCCAGGGCCATGGGGACAAGGAGCAAGCATTCTCTCAGTGGGCTGGCAGATGCAATCATGGGAGGGACCCGCCCTTATTCTTCCTGTCTTTCCTGGATCTTTGCATCTGGCCCTGGGAAAAGTGACCTGATGGCCTGGCTGCTGGTTTATAAGATGTGTGGCATCTCCTGTAGGGTAACGGGGTACGGTCTCCCTCCTGGTGCCCTGATAAGCCACACACGAGCCATTGCGCCATTCTGAGAAGCAGCTGTCTCCGTGTCGTGGGGCACCTGAGATGGTCAGTGGGTTCCACGGGTGTGAGTTAATCACCTCCCATTCTTTGCATTAAGATGTGTCCCCCAGTGGAAGTAATCCTGCATAGGTTCCAGAGCCACAGGAAAGGCCCTGTTCACGGAAGCACTGAGCAGGGTCCAGGGAAGTCCAGTTGGAACCCTCAGTGTGTGTGTAGCCCTGTGAGGACAAAGCCCAGTCCCCTCCAGGATGGGATGTGTCCTGTGTGGCCAGCCTATCCATAGTGGTCAGGTAGTCCTCCTGTAAAATGACACCTTCCAGGGTCTTAGCCCTGGGCTGTGCCTACACTGGGCGGGGCTGGGTACAGTGTGCAGCCAGGCCAGTGCTGGGAGACTCAGTCCACTTGTGGTAAGGTACGTCGCCGTCCTCCCTGTCCATGTGGCCATCTGTGCCTGGACCCCCTGAGCAAGCTCTGAGGGACACAGTCTGCCTGACACTGTCCACCAAACACCAAGAACCTCATCCTTACAGCACAGGTTCTGGGCTTAAGAGTGGGGACGGCATAGCTCACACTTTGTGCCCATCCCCAGAGGAACATGCATGTCTCCTCCCTGTCTTAATTTTACTCTCTTATTTTCTTCAAGTCCTGGACCATGTGGCCCACTCTGGGTTCGTGCAATGGGCCCAAGTCCATCTCTCCTTGCAGAACCCCTGAGGCTCTGCCCATCTGAAGGATTTCCTTACGTCACTCCTCAGGACCGCCTGAAGTGGGCACTAAGGCAGCCACCGTCCACTTCTGCTGGGTGCCAGCTCACCGTGAGGACCCATCCATAAGCCTGGTCTGCAGTTTCCTCCTCTGTATGAGGTCATGGGGCTTCCCAGGAGCTCACAGATGTGGTAGAGGGAGGGGCAGGAGGAGAGGTGCCATGGGAGCCTGAGTCACTTGCTGGCCTTGGACCTGCTTGAGCCCGACCCCATGCTCAGCTCTCCTGTGGATGCTGGAGGCTGCTGTGCATACCTCAGGTTATGGTTTGGTAGCTCAGAGAGCACCAGGACCTGAACTTGATTGCCCCAGATCCAGGGATGAGCCAAGAGCTGCTTTCCGAGTGATAAGAGTTACCTGCAGGAGGAGGCGCAGAATTTCTCTAGAACCTCCAGTTCTGCACTGTGAATCTTTTGGAGCTTGTGAAAAGCTCCATAAAATAATGCACTGGATTTGAAACATGGACTCTCTTACATTTGTTCATTTCTAAGTATACTCATCCAGGAGTTATTGAGAGTAACATTTTGCAATTCCATCTGGAGTGATTTACTGGGAAGTGCTGTGGTTCATTTCTTTCTTTTTGTTTTTGTTTTTGTTTTTTTTTTCCAGACAGAGTCTCACTCTGTCGCCCAGGCTGGAGTGCAGTGGCGCGATCTTGGCTCACTGCAACCTCTGCCTGCCGGGTTCAAGCGATTCTCCTGCCTCAGCCTCCTGAGTAGCTAGGACTACAGGCGTGAGCCACCATGCCCGGCTAATTTTTTTGTATTTTTAGTAGAGACGGGGTTTCACCATGCTGGCCAGGCTGGTCTCGAACTCCTGACCTCGTGATCTGCCCACCTAGGCCTCCCAAAGTGCTGGGATTACAGGCGTGAGCCACCACGCTAGGCCCTTAAATTTTTTTTGAGACAATGTCTCACTTCTGTTGCTCAGGATGTAGTGTAGGAGTGTAATCATGGCCCACTGCAACCTGGACTTTCTGGGCTCAGGTGATCCTCTCACCTCAGTCTCCTGAGTAGCTAGGACTACAGGTGTGTGTCACCATACCCAGCTATATATTTTAAAACTATTTTTAGTAGATAAAAGAGTTCATCATATTGCCCAGTCTGGTCTGCAACTCCTGGGCTCAAGCCCCACCTAGCCCTCCTAAAGTGTTGGGATTACAGGCATGAACCACCATTTCTGGCCCCCTATTTTGAAATTTTACTTAATTGATAAATATTCAACACATACACATACACGTGTGCATACTCAAAGAAAGCAGATGACTTTGAGATTATGACAAAGGTGGGGGCTTCATGATGGAATTAATGCCTTTATAAAAACACACAGGAGAATCGTCTCTCTCATTTTCTTTGTCTTTTCTCCCCCTCCCAGCCCTTCACCATTTGTAGATACATTAAGAAAACAGGCACCTGCGGGAAAGCCCTAGCCAGGACTGAATCAGCTGGCACCTGGACTTTGGACTTTCCAGCCTCCAGAACTGTGATAAATAGATTTCTACTGTTTAAGTCACCAAGGCGACAGTGTTTGTTATAACAGCCCAAGCCCAGGAATATACTGTCTGACCCTTGTTTTGAATGAAACTCTTCAGTTTCTTCATTAACTTAGCTGGCAGCTCTTGTCTGCAGCAGCACCAGAGGCCCCAAGAAAAGAGCTCCAGCAGGGCCTCAACCTTCAAGGATCCCATGGGGCCTCCTTGATGTCAGGACCTGGATGTCAGGTGAGGCTTCAGTGATACAACCAAAATGTGAAATCGTAAGTGTTTTTACCACTTACACTGGCGAGCACATGCCAACCTCGACACAACAGATACAGACTCTAGAAAGCCCAGACAGAAAGGAGAGGAGGGACCTGTTGGCTTTTTCGGGTCCAGGGTGTTATCTGACAGGTGTCCAGCAGGGAGCTTTAATGGATGTGTTTGAAGCAAGTAAACACTGGGGCATGGAGATCACGCTGTGACTGAAAGGTGGTCACTTTAAATTTGAGGGCAAATGTCACAACTGTCAGTTGAAAGGAAGCAGCTGGAGAGAGGGGAGCCCAGCACACTAAGCAGGAGAGATGCCTCCAAGATTTTATCTCTGGCCACCAGATGGAGTCATTTGGACCGGGTACAGTATTTAAGACTCTGTCATGGTGACCAAGTTCTGCCTCTGAGATGAGGAAATTAAATGTACACTTTTAAAAATGCATGTTGAGGCCGGGCGCGGTGGCTCAAGCCTGTAATCCCAGCACTTTGGGAGGCCGAGGCAGGTGGATCACGAGGTCAGGAGATCGAGACCATCCTGGCTGAAACCCCGTCTCTACTAAAAATACAAAAAACTAGCCGGGCGTGGTGGCGGGCGCCTGTAGTCCCAGCTACTCGGAGGCTGAGGCAGGAGAATGGCGTGAACCTGGGAGGCGGAGCTTGCAGTGAGCCGAGATCACGCCACTGCACTCCAGCCTGGGTGACACAGCGCGAGACTCCGTCTCAAAAAAAAAAAAAAAAAAAAAGCATGTTGAGGCAACATGAAATTATGAGCCCTTGTGACACCCAGGGACTCCAACAGGGTGTGGTGCTGTGTTCCAGAGTCAGGGTCCTGGATTCTGGTCCCCCGACAGTGAGAAATGAAGATGACCTGTCTCTGCTCCCCCTCTGCTCCCCTGAAACTGATCTTTTCACCCTGCACCTCCCTGTTCTGCTCCCAAACCCCCTTCAGTGCTCATCCCGAGACATCACTCCCCATATCCCAAAACATATCGCCCCCACGGCATGCACAGTATAGCCCAAAGCACACAAACACAAACTCACAGTGACAAAAATCTGTGTTTGGGACATGTGATTGTGAAACAGGGAGGACAGTGCACTCACAGCCACAAAGACTGGGACTCGAGGGGCTGGAACATGATGGAGCTGTAACATAACATGTGTGAGTTCATGTGAAATGTGAAGATTCACGAGGAATAAAATGCAGCCTGGCCTGGGGCCACTGCCGTACACACTTCCATCCCTGTCCACCAGAGGGCGGCAGAGCTCCTACTGGCCTGCTGCCTCCCGAATAGCTGTAGAGCTTTCTCAGCAGGGTCCACAGCCCAGCAGGGTCACCTCTGCACCCTCCAAGCTCTCCACACAGACTCTGTCAGCTCCTCCTTGCAGCCAGGCGGCCGCCCACGTGAGACTGCTCCCTCTGCAGGCAACCCCCCACACGCCCTCCTTCCTGGGGCTCACCCAAAAGGGCATCTCCCAGGGTGGCCATGGTGCACGTGATGCCACACTGGGTACTTTTTCCTTGTGACTTCCTTTCAACTTCATCAACTCCTTCTGTGACTGCTCTCTAAATACCTGCCCCTGCTTTTCTGTCCTGTTTTCTGGGGCATCCTAGGCTGAGCCCAGTGCTGACACGGAACAGCAGCTGCCTGAGTGCCCATGGCATCCCCAGGAATCACCCAGGCACCCTGTGACCTGCCGTCTACATTGGGGGGCTCAGAGAGCATGTGACAGTCCTGCTGGTCCTGAATCTGGCTAAATCAAGCTGCCAGGTGAAACCAAGCCTCCCCTGGGTCAGGCTACAGGGAAATGGGCAGAGAGGGAGCCTCAGGCCAGACTTCTGTATGTCCAGAAGTAGAATTGCTGGATCAAGTAGTAATTCTTTAATTTTTTTGAGAAACTGCCATACTATTTTCCACAGCAGCTATAACATTTCCCATTCCCATC